CCCGGGCCGTCTTGGCGTTGTGGAGGCGGCAGAACTTGATCTGCTGGCTGATGCTGAGCGGCCGGCCTTTGGAGAAGGTGCGCAGCAGGTCCTCGTCGACGGCCAAATCACACATGGGGCACTTGGTCGGGGTGGCCCTGGTGGGCCTGGCGTTGCTGTCCTCCTCCTCGTCTTCTTCTTCGTTGGCGTCTTCGTCTTCACTCGCCTGGCTCAGGGTGCCCGGTGAAGCTGCTTCGTATGGACCTCCGAGCAAGTCTTCGAGGCCCATGCCGGGGAGGCTCGCCGGTAACCTGAATGTGCTTCCGGCGACTAAGACCTTGGGTTCTGGGAGGTCTTCTGCTCTTTTCGCCTTTTTCCGTCTACCTGTATTTCTATTGATGTGTTTGTATTGCTATGTATCTATATATACATATAAATCATTCTGGCTAGGATATGCCATATATATATATATATATATATATATATATATGTATATATATATATATATATATATATATATATATATATATATATATACATATATATATATATATATATATATATATATATATATATATAGATATATATATCTATATACATATATATATATATATATAGATATATATACACATATGAGCGCCCTGATGACGAGGTCTTCGATGATGCTAAAGGCTGCGCCGGCGTAACCGACTGCCGTCATGTTGATGCATGTGCGGTTGTCGTTGCTCCGGTCCCACACCGAAGACACGGGCATGCACTGGAACGCCACGAGCAGCACGAACAACAGCCCATGCAAGATGAGAAAGGCGATGAAGGCGCGCACCGTCACCAGGAACCACCGCACCTGGAAGATGCGAGAGAAGAAGAGGAGAATCGACATCTTGGCGAACACCTGGATCAGGATGTACAACATCTGCACCGCGTAGAAGAGCTGCAAGAGAATCGTCCCATTCTCGGGCGAGACGTGCCAGTAGTGCATGCCGAAACCCAGCTCGGCACTGGCAATCTCGATGCCTGCGAGGCCGGCGAGGAAGACCTGAAGAGTCAGCGATAGCTCATGGCTCATCTCGAAAGCCGCGAAGAACACTAACAATGGCGGCCAAGACGGTCCAGTCATCCCACCAGAAGCCCGAGGTTGCCGTCCACCGGGAAAGGAAGCGAAGCCCGACAATGGGAAACGTGACAACCGTGAACACCATGGCGATCGTCTTGACCTCCTTAGACCTTGACGGCCTGGGATAGGCGGCGCAAACAGCAGCCTCGACACCGACAGCCTTGACTTGGTCCTCAAAGTGGCAACTCAGTTGCACGCAGTCCGATAGCGCCGACTGCAGAACAATGCTCGGGCATATACACTCTTCCAGAGACTTGATCGAGGCGATGCTGCAGTTGCCTACTTGTATCGTGTCCATCACGCAGGCCATCTACCGTGCACTTGTCAGCCTTCTTCCGAAGTAGGGGGGGGATTTCCTCCGTGATAGTGGTCGTCACCTACCGCACATTGTGGGATAAGAGCGAGCAATCCCGGTACTGTTTCTGGAATTTCGACGGCCATCGTCATCGTATTGGACACGGCAAGCCACACTGGCAGCCAGGCTATGTTGAATCGACGCATCGTCGCGCAAGTCGATGTGGAAACGAAAGCAGTCGGCAGAAACCAGAAAACGTGCAATAGGTCTGAAACGGAGATGATGCCGGGGAGTGAGGTTTCTTATGACCAGAGGCCCGTCTCGCCACGAGCGCCCTGGCCTCTCTGTCTAGTAACAAGGTCCCTAAAATGGTGCGCACCGAGACCCTGGGTGAACCACACTAAACATTGGTCCTCCAACAGCTTTAGCGTCGCAGGATCCAAAGTTGTCGCGACGAACCGTACCTAGTCTCCACAGCTTCGGAGGCGAGCCACATGGCGTGGCCGGGTAAGGTGCAGCTTTCGCAGACAAGACCTAGCGTCGTGTCAAAGCGGCCGCCGGGAGTGGCACCCCAATGGAAAAGACGGGAAGCGCATTGTGCGAGGTGCTCTCGGCCAAGAGCCTGGGAGAGCAAACCAGTCCAATCAAAAGAACCCGTCGGCCAGGGTCATGGGTTTGCAGGACCAGAGCCATCTCCAACGGAGGACTCGATGAGTGCTGGCGGCGCACACTGAAGCCCTTTCAGGTATGGTGATCATCTGAAGGTACGCGAGGCGTCGTGATGGTGATAGACTAAAAGGTCTGACCGGCCCCGCTCGCTGACTCGGCTCGATGTTCATTGCAGCACAATGGGCCACGCTTGCTAGTCGTGGTCGCCCATGTCTCACTCATCCAGGCCTTCCCTCCCTTCCTTGCAACACCTCTAGACCTTGTACCGAGGCCGTGGCGAGGGATTGCTGCGATCTGGTCCACCGTGCCACAGGCGTTCCCCGCTCGCCAGGAGAACACAGTCCACCACTGGACCGAATGGGCGGATGATCGACGATAGGCGACTTCTCTTCAAACATTACAGTCCACTCTCAGGGGCGCCGAGGGGCCGCCGGGGATGTTCCCGTTCCGCGTCCCGTCGCATGTTCTTCCCCTCCACCTCCAGGAAAACACAACCACATCGAGTCAAGGTCATCTGACTAAAAAGCTGCGCCAGGGCGAGACCAGTCACAACTCCAGCCACGAAGACACCAGACCAATCCAAGACGCAGTGAACGCGAGCAGCCCAGAGTTCCAAACTCTTCCCTCCACATAGAGTTCGCGCTAGAGTTCCTACCACGTCTCATATGAAAGGGGAACCACAGCACGATCGAGGTACCGGCCGTTCAGGTCCAGTAGGATAAAGCGCCCAACGACGTGAACCTAATCGGTGCCACATGTTCGGCAGATTTTCCGGTGGCCTCGCGGACTAATCCATCACTGATGAAAGTCGTCACCACCAAGGCCTAATTCGAATGTGCATGAGCTTTGGGCTGAGCCGCGTACTCCCCGGGTGTCGGTCGGGAGTCGTGGGAGCTGGAGTTCAAGCGTACCGATTTTGGGAATTCTGTGGTTTTACTAACACGGAAGGAAACAAGCCTCGGCACCATGGTGTAATCAACCCCGGCCTCTGGTCGTTCAGCTCCCCAAGTCTGCGTAGGTCAAGAATCTTCCCTCAGAGGACAACAATGAAAGAAAACTCCCGGTGTGTCTCTTTCTTGCCCAGGCACTATTTTCCCATCTCATGAGGATGTTAAGCAGCGACTGCATCACAAGAACTCGTGCATGATGGCCTCCTCTCTCGATGAACAAGCCGCCAGCATCGAGCAGACCTCATTAATTTGCTTTTGTGATCTGTCGCACATCCAGCATCGTCATATCGTGACAAAACATTTCAACGACCGATACCCGGCCTCGAGGGTTCGTTTCAACCCAAATTAGAGTTTCCGTCCAGCGAGCTCTTCCCTGAAGCTATCCGTCATACCACCTGTCCCTGCAGTCCCGTCCCTGCAGCTCGACGTCTGCCGCCTGAAACTTTAACCATGACTTCTATCTGTGGGGAGGCCACCTTGTCAGTCCCAATGAGCATACATGTACTGCGTCCCGTAGATCAAAGACGAAATGATTGCCCCGCGCCACGCGCATGAAACATAACAGCCCCTTGAGCCCCCAGCTGCGACTCAACCGTCCATTGCACATTATACTGATCACTATTACCCATATTTGCTGCTGATCGTTCGCCAACCCCTATCGATCTTCACCAAGCCAGTAGCTCGCCGAGCCCGTGCTCCTGGAGATATGCATTGATCCCTCGCTCCGTGTTGTCCCATAGCCCATCACCAATTTTCGGATCCGCCGAAGCGCCGCGCTGCAGCGGAGCGAGCCTGCCCACGGGGAGCAAGAACTGGCCGGCAAACACCTCGGGCCTGCTCCTCACGTCGGCGGCTGTGGCCGCGAAGAGGGAGTTTCTCGCGCCCTCCACCGGGGTCACGGCGAGGCGCTGCATCAGCCCCGTGAGCCAGGGCCGGAAGACGCTCGCCATGGCCGGCGTGCGGATCATGCCAGGCGTAACAGCCGTGACGAGTATGGGCGACGACGATGCGAGAGACTCGTCGCCGTACACTTTGTCGAGGCGGCGCTGCAGATCTCGGGCGTAGAGCGCCGTGGCGAGCTTGGAGACGGCGTAGGCGAACATGTCGATGCGGATGAAGATGGGGAACAGCCAGCGGTGGGCCCAGGGGTAGTACGGCACCGGGCTCTCGAGGGCATCGGGGCCGGTGAAGTTGGGCACGTAGCTCGCGGGGATGAGTTCTGATTGCACGTGTGACGAGACGACGACGATGCGAACGTCGGCATCTGGCAGACGTGCTGTCGATTTGAGGAGGGGGAGCAAGAGGTTGTTCAGGGCGAAGTGGCCGATGTAGCTGGGATGTCAGGTCTCGCCACCAGGAAGTCAAGCAACAGGCCAGGAGGGGACACTTACTTGACGGCCAGATTGGGCTCCCAGCCCGAGCCCGAGGTAGGGCAATCCAAGCCCGTGGTGCCGCACGCGTTGTTGACTGCAGACCCATGTCAGCAACAGGGTCACGGGAAGGTATGCTGAGCTGAGAGCCAGAAGTATGCATACTGATAATGTCCAGTCTCGTCTCGTTTGCCTTGACGTGGTTGGCGGCCGCGACAACAGTCTTGAGATCACTGAGATCCAAGCCGACCCAGGCCAACTGGCCCGGCTCGATCTCCGCGTGTCGGTCGTACATCTCGGACATGGCTTGGCGGGCCTTCGACTCGGTGCGAGAGGCCATGTAGACCTTGGCGCCGCGCAGGGCGAGCAGCCTGATGGTGTCGTAGCCGATGCCAGAGCTGTTTGGCCGACTGGTCAGAGAGGTGTCGTGGCGATGGTGGGGAGTTTGACTTACTTCCCCCCCGTGACGAGGGCGACTCTGCCGCGGAGATCGGGGCCATTGGCGAGGAAGTCCCAGGAATCGCTCATTCTTTCGACTTGCGCCTTGCGTCGTGATCAAGCTAGATGGATGTGAAGCTGCGATGAACGAACCTTGACGATGAAAGAGGTAGGTGAAGCGTCAAGGTGAAGGGAGAACTTGTTATGGACAGGATCGATCTTAAGTACCACCTTTGAACCAGGCACATGCATCAGGGGACGGCACCACTCTTCAGAATCTGCCCGCAGCAACAGGCCATCATCCGCATCGTTTCCTCCTGGTTCCGCGGCATTCGTCAGGGCAAATGCTGGACATGCCTGCATCTGTATAAGCAGCCATGGGCCAATAGCAAGGACTCTCCCACACAAGAGTGACAGCAACAAGCCTGTCCGGATGCACGCCCAAGCATTTGCCGTTTTGGGTCTTCGGCAAGCACGATATCACGCGAAGACCCGGTTCACAGCGTCGCTGGGTCAGATACGGACTCTACGCAGACCCCTTTCGCCGCAGGAGGACTCGGGGTGGATACCGGAGGCGGGACCATCAGCGGCCATCGGCGGTTGGCAGTATCTGTTCGGCCGACCGCTTACCGGATTAAGGCAATGCTCTTCTTGGCAGGCGCGACTGGGTCATCTCCCTGGAGCACGATGATTGGCGATCAAGCAGCCATGGTGGGTAACGCCATGCAGTCAACAGTCAACATGGACAGGAGCATCACCAGCATCTCCTTCCCAGTTGGCTGTCATATGGGGGTAACTCCTCGAGGTACTTAATCTTGTGCCTCCCCAGATACTCCATCCTACATGGTTGAGCATTTCCCCAAAAAGGATAATGCTCATTCTCCTGGTTCCTTCATTGATTCCTCTTCATTCTTCTCGGAGTCATCCATCCGTAAGCCATGGCTCCTGGCGGCTTCCAGTTCGTCCACATCACCAACCCGGCGGAGGCGGCCAACCACCGAAAGAAAGTTCGAGCGCATGCTGCGAGAAACTCCAAGGCCCGGCGTGAGAAGGTTGCCGAGTTCCAGGCTCAACACCGTGCTCAAGGCCGAGCCCCAACACAAGGACGCAGCTGTCGTGGCGTCTGAGACCTCCAGGGCTGACAGGTCTTCGGCTGCCGGGGGCCAAGTCCTGGAGCCTCTTCCGAGCCCTCTCATTGGGAAGCTGATCCCCAGTCCCCAGACTCTGCTGAGCCCGGTCTGGCATGACCCTTTCAACAGCTTCATCCGCCCCGTGGCTCCATTTGAAGGCTATTTGCTCAAACACTGTGAGTGCGCGGCAGGGCATGAGACCGTATTAACACCTATATGTCTCGCTCAGTGACTGACAACGAGCTCTAGTTATCCAACATGTGGTCATGAGCGACCTCTCTGCCCAACCTTGCTTGCACCACCTCAGCAACGACGCCCTCACGCTTGGCTCTGCCATCACCTGGACTCAGGAGGCCGCCATCGACGTGGGCATGCTGGCACTTATTCTCCTCGTTGCCTGTCGGAGCCTCGCCAAACTGCAGCACTCGACCATCTACGAGCCCGTCGCCTTGCGCTACAAAGCACAGTGTCTGCGATACCTCAGCGACACCATCAGTCGCGAGGGGGACAACGTGAGCGATATGACGATAACGAAAACCTTGGCCATGGCTTCAGAAGAGGTGTGTCTCCTGTACCCAGTTGGTCAAGAAAAGCTCCAAAATGCACTTGGGCTGACCAGACCCCAGTTCATCTCGAGCAATAAGACTGCTGCGGACCAGCACCTTCGAGCAGCCGTGCAGATGGTCAAAATGCGTCGCGGTCCTATCATGGTTGGTATGTGGAAGCACGACGATAACCTACATCTATGGTCGCACTGGGAACATGTAGCGGCTGGTGAGGCTACCGATGACATTTGTGCCTTGCAAATGCGGTCAAAACAGACTTCGGCTGGCAGCGCTTTTGACGAGCTACGCATCTCGCCTGAAGCATCCGCACTGCCAGCTCGCCTGCACCAACGACGCTACGACCAGCTCGGGCCCGCGTTTAAGACAATCACTCTCACCGCTGTCGACGGCGACAAAGTCTCTTGAATGTACTCTCTTCATTACATTACGTTTGTGGTGTTTCATTATCTCACCCAGGCACCGATAATCTGCCCTCACTGCGGCAGGATGCCCTGTGGGAAGTGGAACAGGTCTGTCGGATCGACCTTTGTCTTGATCGCCTCGAGCCTCGAAAGGTGTTGTCCGTAATACTGCTCCAAGGCATCTTTCTGGCTCAACTCGGGGTCGATGTAGTTGGCATATCGTCCCCAATCGCTGTCTGGCATGCCGTCGATGACGGCGTCGATCCAGCGATTGAGAAAACCATAAGGCTCCCGATCCGCCGCATCTGTGGCAAGGATGACGTACTGGAACAGCCATAACTTGTCCCTGTGCACGTACGACGTGGCATCCTTTGGTACGGCCGCCACAGCCGAGTTCGCTCCTCCGTGGGCGTCCATCTGGACGAACCAGGCCCGCGGCTGCTGTCCCTGGTTCTGCCAGTAGTCCACGAAGCCCTCTAACGAGGCCTCTGGCATCTTCTTGGTCATCAGGCTCGTCGCGAAGAAGAGGGCGCCGGACTGCTGGTACGGGAAGGTGATGTTGACCGACGGGCCCGTCAACCCGTCCGCCCAGCGCTTCACGCCCGCCATCCAGTCGCCTGATCCAACACTTGTCCGCTCCGAAGTCCAGTCAAACTTGAGCAGGTCATTCAGGGGCTCCAGCGCCGCCCTACCGTCGGCCTCGCTGCCGTGGTACAGCACCTCGAGCTTGTTATCCCAGGAGCCGAAATAGTTGGTCAACGAAAGGCGCAGGTTGAGTTCGGGTGGCATGTCGTTGTCGACAAAGTCCTGAAAGCCCTTGATTCCCGCGAACGCCGTCTCCTTATCGACAGCAACATTGGACGCGATGGCGAACCACGACACCTCCTTCGGTACCGTAAAGGTCTTGACCTCAAACTCAACAATGATTCCAAATGACGACCCTGCGCCTCGAAGCGCCCAGAAAAGGTCGGCGTTCTCCTTCTCGGAGGCATGCACGAGAGATCCGTCTGCGAGTACGACAGTCACCCCGATGACGGCATCGAGCGTCAGTCCATGCGTGTGCGAGCTGAACCCAAACCCTCCGTGAGCAGCATGTCCGCCCAACCCGACACTGTTGCACTGTCAGCTTCGCTTGACGGGATAGCACGAGCTTTGGAAACCCACCTCGGGCAGAGTCCCTGCGAGATGGCCCTACCGCCCTGCGCGAACAACTCTGTAGCGATGTGACCCAGTCTCGATCCCGCGTTGAAGATGGCCGTCCCGTCTTCCCTGAGTCGAACTCCGAACATGCGATCCAGCTGTATGACAACGTGGCCGTCCTCGCCGCCGAGCCCGTTGGTGGCGTACCCGTGGCCGCCGCTCCTGGGCGCCACTTTGAGCCCGTGGCGCGCGGCGCATCGCACGGCGTCCTGGATGTGGGCTACACTCGTGGCGGGCACGACGAGACGGGGGGCCACCGGCAGGCGCAGATTGTAGGGTGAGGTGTAGACGGTCCAGTCGGGGGCTGTGTCATCGAGCCAGGGAACGGAGGCCGCGGTGAGGCAGCTTTCGACAGTGCACGTCGGAGAGGCGAGGCCGGCTGGCAACAGAGCCGCCGTGAGGGCAGATGTGAGGATAGTCTGCATGGTGTGTTTGGCTAGTTCGTATTGACCAAACGAGACCAGGAGAGGCAGCAACATCTACGGGCGGTATGGTTTATATGTAATCGGCCCCAATTGTTCCCCGTGGGATGCATGGATCGTTATGCCTGTAGATCTACCACAATGTGCTCCCGGCGGATCTGCAGGTACGCCGAAAGTTACGCCGTGTTCAGGGTCCCCTGTCGCGCCGGCTGTTCAATGTAGGCTCTCCAAGAGGCATATGGGGTGAGATGCGCAGACAATTACTCAAACGGCTGCTAGTGTTCACTGTGAGGACCGCGAATGACCAATGATGCCAATGCGCCCTGGCACGGAGCGAACATAAGTTCCTCAGAACCCGCACGCCGTGGCAACCGAACCGAAGGCTGCATCCTGGCCGTCCTACGTGCGTCGCGCGTCGTGCGTCGTTCAACTTCGGGCCGCCGTGGCTAAATAGAGGGTGGGTGGCCGATCCCCCTAGACAACTCTCGCTGAACTGGCCGGGCTGCAGCCAGATTTCGTGATCCCTTTTCAAGGCCGCACTCGACTGTGCTAGAGTTGAAGCTCCTTTCAGAAATGCGAACACTTGTGAAGTCTCTCTGCCTACCCTCTCCGTCAAGAGGGCGAAAGTCGCCCCCCACACATGGGGCCTCCTCCAACACACGTCGCGTGGATAGACGCACCTAGTCCTCGGAATCGGTCCGCCGAGCGCTGCGCCGCAATCCTTTCAACGGGTAGCACCGCATCCTCTCCGCGCGGGCCGTCCGAGTATCCAGTACCCAGTACGCGCTTGGCTCCTGGGGAGGGGGGACAAGTCACGAGCTTCGCATCCGGGAGGGGCAGATCGACGGACGGAGTGGTTCTTGCGGGGGGGGGGGGGGGGGGGGGGAGATGCTGGAGGGCGTTGTTGACCGAATTGCTGGCCGATGGGGACGTTGATGCGTACTCCCGCATGTACGCGGATAACTTCTCGTCTCTCTCTCTCTCACACACACACAAACACATACGTACATGCTTATTACAAACGGCTCGGATTCTTTCTTTTGTCTATGATACAGGAATACAGAGTAAGAACCATGTTTCAATACCCGACGAGAACTCCCTGCCTAGAAATAGTCCACCCCCCTCCAGCCGAGCACGTCCTCGAGCTCGCCCCTGACGTCGGCCGCCGAAGCGAACCCGCCCTTGCCGGCGGCCTCGGCCCTCTGCCGCGCGCCGAGCTCATTCCACCGCGCCAGCAGCGCGCCGTCGACAATGGTCCTGCCGGCCGAGACGTCGACGGCCGGCGGGCGCGCGGCGCCGTCTTGGGGGGGCAGCCTGTGGGCCTTGGGGTTCATCCCGGCGGCGTGCGGCAGGGCGTTGGCGAGGGACGTCGTCAGCGAGGTCAGGCGGCGGTAGGCGTGCTCGGTGATGGGGTTCAGGGAGGCGATGGCGCCGGAGGCCGAGGCGAGGAGGAGCGTCTGCGTGCGGTTCTGGGACCCGGCGGCGCCGGTGGCCGGTTCCGATTGCGGTAGGTAGGGACGCGTCGTTGTTCGGGGGAGGACGAGGGTGGCCCACGCGTGGTTCGGGGCGACGGAGAAGGAGGCACGGTTCAGGAGGAGGTGGCCCTGGAGAGATCGGGGGTCTGCGCGGTTGTCAGACGTGTGTGTGGGGAGAAATCGAAGAAGGGACGAAAAAGGGGATGCCTTGGTACTCACGTTCAGGGTCGAACTGCAGGATGTGCAGCACGCCGTCCTCGTCAGACGCCACGATGCTCAGGTCGTTGCCGGCGACGAGAAAGTCGGCCGTCAGACACTTGAGCTGCGTGCCGCTCTTGCCAAAGAGCGTCATGCGGTAGGGCTCCTCCGAGTATCCCACGAACCACACGCCCATGTTGGCGTCTGCCATGAGGCAGTAGCCCGTGTTGCGCAGCTCGTGTACGGCGACAACGTAGGTGCTCATGTCGAGAAAGGCCACCGGCAGCAGCGTGCCATCCTCCTTGAGACCCCGGACCATGCACTTCTGGCCTTGGGCCACCAGCATCAAGCCCTGCGTGCCCACCTCGCAGAGCGAGGTGACGGCGCCGCGCGGGATCTCCTCCTTGGCGATGAGCTTCAGCTTGCGGTCCGTCTCGGGTCGGTCTGGCTGGGGGATGACGTGGACGACGTCAAAGACGAGAATGCGGCCGCGGACCGGCAGGTCCTCTCCGCGGAGGATGGCGGTGCCGACGGCGAAGAGCATGCGCCGCTCCTTCGTCTCTTCCGACACTTCGAGAAGCAACGTCTTCATGCACATGGCGACCTCGTACTGCTCCAGCTCAAACTCGTCAATGACGTTCCAGGTGATTGGCGAGTACAGCTTGATGCTGCCGTGCTCCTTCATGGGCGGCATGGGACATTCCTCCTTGGCCCACTCCTTGTGGTAGTCGTCGTCCTTGGGCAGTTCAAAGGGCTCGAGCTTGCTGGACGCCACAGCGTACACCTCCATGTTGGGATGCCACGCCACATGGCTGACCGCCGTGTCGATGGGCACTTTGCGGACAGACACGCCAAGCTCGGCCACGTTGGCGGCATCAGGAAATTGCGTCACGCGAGCACAGCCTTTGGAGTCGGCGTAGATGAACCCGCGCTCGCAGCCCTCCGTGTGGAAGGAGCTCATGCCGTTGACGCCGAGGCCTTGGAGGCCGATGACCTTGGGTGTGCTCTTGCTGGATTTGAGGATGAAGGATGGGGATGCTCCCGGGAGGAAGACTGTGCTGTAACCACCAATGTTGTCACAAGCTCGTAGAGGAATCACACGGTTCTCCTGGACGGCCTCATCCTCAGCAGCCTCGACCGGGCTCTTGGCGAGGTGTGAGTTGGACACCTTTTTGAAGAACAGAGAGTTGGCCAAGTCTTCCTTTTCCTCCTGGCCGCCGATCCGGAACGGCTCGTATATTGTCATGTCATCATTGGCGTGTCGTAGCTGGCAGAGTCAGAACCCTGTGTTGCGTTGCCCCGTTGCGGAGACCCAAGGATATTCAACTTACAATCAGGTGTGCGGATGCACTGGTAGAGTCTCCGAGGTCAGCAACCAGGATCTCGGTGAGAGTCTCGGGACTGGTGCCTCGGCGGGCGGTGTAGTCTGCGGAAAGAAGGGATGGGATGTAGGAAAGCCCGGCGGCGACGTATATGGACTTTGAGAGGTTGGGCAGTGCATAAACCTGGGCCGGTCAGCTTGGTCTGTCTAGCAACAAGATGTACGCATATCCTCACATGGAGTTCGCCTATCGCGTTGAGCAAGAACAGGAAGACGCTCTCGCTCGTCGAGGTCCCCTTGTCCGTCTGCACGGGTGCAAAAAGGCCGCGCGAGTCCTTGTAGAGACACCCGCTGAGCCACTTGGTGGAGACGATTGTTTCGTCCTCCTTGTCGAGCTCCTCCAGCTCGTTGTGATTCGTAATCTGGGCAACAAGAATGCTCGAGTCCTCGCGCAGAAGCAAAAGGTAGGGGTCTACGATACTGGCGCTAATGACGCGCGGTTCGGCGCCCGTCTCCTCGTCCAGCATGGGAAGTATCTGGCTGAGACCAAGATCTGGCACCGGTCAGCTCCGAAAGGGGTACGCGTTCGCGCGCGCGCAAGCAACTCACCTCCGTCGTAACAACGGACTTCAGAACGGAGCACCTGAATGATCCTCATGTCGTTGCCCATCGTTCCGGCCTCGATCGTCAGTCCAGCGGCGGGGTCAAACTCGGTGCCGGAGAGAGCCTCAAAGCCTGCACCTGTAAGTGCGTAGACGTCTGACGTTTCATAGCCGTCCAAGTCGACCTTGGCCACGATCATAAATTTATCATACTGCGTCACAGATCCGTAGTCGTTGCCGACGGCCAGATTGGCCCCCTTGTCCCCCTGGAGGGACTTGGCAATCGTCTTCTGCACGCGCGTCGTCCAAAAGCCACGAGCCTCTGGAAAGTCAAAGCGTCCGATGACCCTGGGCTGAATGTGCTGGTTGATGAGAGCCAGGGAGCCCCCGCGATGCCGTCCGACGGCACACACAAGGTCGAGCTCGGACCGCACGCCTTCCGAGTTCTTTGCATCCTCGCTGCCGGGGAAGAAGGCCGTCTTGCCATATGTCATGTCCATGATGGGGGACAGGCTGAGCAGCGAGTCGTGGACGCGAAACACCACGTCTCCGCCCTTGGCCGATCCAGCGGCAGCCGAAGGTTGAGGGGCCACCGTGCCCTCGCCGTACAGGTCGTCGTCGTCGTCGTCGTCGTCGTCGGCTTCATCGTCGTCGAGGTCATAGTCGAGTGACTCGTCCAACAGACGCGCCTTCTTCCGTGCCGTTTGCACATGTTGCCTGCTCCAGCCGATCACTTTAGAGTCACCGCCGATCGTGCCGTAAAACATGCTGTTCTTGGTGACCTTGGTCAGGCACGCGGCCCGGAAGGGAAGGACGTCGCCCCCATTTTCCGTGGCGACGACCTTGACGCTGACGCCGGAGACGCTGCGGCCATCCATCTTGAAGGTGACGACGGCCATCTCGCCGTGCCGCGTCACGAGCAGCATCTCGCCGTTCTCTGGCGACATGAGCTCGACCTCGCAGTGCTCCAGCCGCAGTTTGAGCTCGGACTGGTCTGCCAGGGGGAACTTGGTCATCTTGGCGGCGTACGGATTGACGGCGACGCCGTGGGCCTTGCCGGCCTGGTCGATGTGGATCAGCTCGTTCTCGCCGATGAGGAGGGCGCCACCCATGGGCTTCGGCAGAGCGATGACCTTGTTCAGAGACTGCGGCAGGTTCGAGACGGTGAGGATGGCGGTCGACGGCCTTTTGGAGGAGGTCGACGGTAAAGACCTTGAAGGTAAAGTGGTCCTTTTGGGGTTCCATCTTGAGGCGGCGGTTGGTGGAGGAGATGATGCCGAGGGTGGGTTCGCGGTACTCGTGCAAGAAGGCGAAGTGCACAGGGTGAAGGATCTCGGGATCAAGCTGGGGCAGCGCGAGGACGAAGGAGGGAGTGTATGGTACAGGTGCTAAGCTGCTGCTGTTGCTGCTAGATCCATGGACGGCCGCAGCTGCTGGCGGCTCCTCTTGCGGCCGCGGGCCGTCCACCTCCTCATCCCAGTCATCCATGTCTATGTCGCCGTCGATCTGTCGGAAGGGGAGGAAGGCGATCTTGCGCAGGCCGAACTTGAGGGCGGCGCATCGCGACTGCGGGTCGGCTTGGAGGATGGTGGCATGCTGTCGCAGGGGGCCGTCCATCGGCGAACCCTGCCACTCCTCTTTTTCGTAAAAGTGAATGGAAATATCCTCGACGCCATGCTTCTCGGGGTCCCACTGCAGGAGACTCAACCGCGCCGTGCGACTGTGGACGAGCAGAGCCTCGCCTCCTGACCTGGAGCTCTGGATCTTGACGCGCGCCAGCCCTGCGATGACGCCGTGGACAGGATATTCGGCAACGAGGACAAGTCGTGTGTTGGTCGTGCGATCGGCGCGCATGAGCATGCCATCGCCCCCGAGGAAAGCGGACTCGAGACCATCGTCGTCGTTGATGCGCCTGTCATAGGTCTCGCCAGCGTTGCTCGTTGACTTGGCCTGGATCTGGGACGTGTCGATTTCGGTGGACACGGTCTTGACGGCGAAGATCTGAAGCAGCGAGCCCTTGGAGACGATGAGGTTTTCGGTCTTGGGCGAGGTGAAGGGAAGCGACACGGAGCAGGTCACCAGCGTCGGGGGAACGAGCTCGGTGTAGCACTGCATGGCGGGCAGCAGTTCATCGGGCAGGTCTCGGGCGCATTGGGTGTCGGGGGTGGCGTCAGAATGCGAGAAGAGTGGTATTGGCGTCTTCCCTCATGCCCTCGTGGCCAGTGCGAGGAGAGTCGTAGCCTTGTGTAGATCCAATGGGTCCAATGGGTTGTCGCGGAGGGTTGTTTCGAGCAGACCCAAGACAATGATGAGCTCCTCTTGCTGAGCTCTGTCTAAGGTAGGTAGGTAAGGTACCTAAGGTAGGTAGGTAGGTACCTAGGTAAGTGCCTTGATGATTACATAAGTTCTCTGCCCAAGGTCCAAGGGGACATGGTCAGAGGTACAAGTAAGAGGTACCTCTGACAAGCCGAACATCTCCCGAGGACAACACGCACGGGCCACATGCGTTCCACACTAGCTCTGTGTTGTTGCGTCACTGTTGCAGCTCGCCAAGAACCAGGAAGGCAAACGCCAGACAATAGGCTGGGGGCCACTGCCATGGGCCACAAGAGCTACGAGAGCTTGCCCCGGCCTGTTTCTACCTACCTTGCCAAGCTTGCCTCCTCATACCTCATTACGCACTCTTTCCACCTTCCTCTCCAACGTCACCTCGCTCAGTCCTCAACTACGTCTCCTTCTCCTCGTCGACACCTTTCACCAGAGTACAGAGCAAGAGCACACCCACATCATGCAAGACGTGACAACCATGGCCAGCGCCGGCCTCCTCCAGACCAGTCTGATCTGGGTCACCTACGCCGCCGTCATCGCCCTCTGCCTCCTCATTGCCTCCATCACGACCTTCACGTGGCAAGCCCCTCGCGACCGATCCGCCCTCGTCAGCACTGTCGCCATTGTCAGCTTGACCGCCCTGCTCGCCACCGTCCTCCTGCTGCCTGTCGACATTGCCCTCGTGTCGTCCACGACCTCGGCCACCCTCGGCGTCAAGAAGGACTGGGCCACCGAAAGTCGCGTCCACAACATGCTCAAGACGCTTCGCATCGTCTATTACTCGCTCTACAGCTTCGACGCCCTGCTGTGTCTCCTCGTCATCCCCTTCACCTACTTCTTCTACGAGGAGTACGACGAGATCGAAGACGAGGAGGGCACCCGACCCTTTGCCGCCCGTCTCGTCAGCGCCCTCAAGTACACGGCTGTCTTTGTGGCGCTCGTCTTGATCCTCTTCCTCGTCGGCTTCTTCGTGCCCGCCGCCGGCAACGACTCCAAGGCCGGCTGGGATCTCGACTACTTCCAGCGACTCCTCGCCGAGAACAATGGGCAAAAGGCCCTGGCTTTCACCCTCGGCCTCCTCGTCACCCTCGGCACCCTTCTCTACGTCGTCTACACGGCCGCCGGACTGGCCCTGCTCCCCATGTCCTTCATCAAGTCGGCCCCTGCCATCTCGGCGCCCCAGCTCACCGAGTCGACCGCCACCGCCCTGGAGCAGAACCAGGAGCGCCAGCGTCAGCTCGAGATGCGCAACGCCGGCCGCCAGGACGGCATGCCCTCCAAGGACCGCCGCGAGCTCGAGGCCCTCATGCGTGAGGAGCGCACCCTGCGCCGCCGCGAGCGCATCGCCGCCGAGGCCTCCGGCGAGGGACGCAGCAAGGTCTACCAGTTCTGGCTCAAGGTCTGCGCCGTCTTCCGTCCCGTCAAGCTGCTCGGCGGCATCCTCCTGCTCCTCATCGCCCTCTTCATCTGGGTCTCCATGCTCATCACGGGCATTGACAAGGCCAAGAACTCCATCTGCAAGCAGCGCTGCGGCTACATCCTCGGCCACCTCAACATTTTCCAGCCCATCAACTGGGTCTTCCTCAAGTCGGCGCGCGCCTTCCCCGTCGACTACATCCTCATGACCCTCCTCGTCCTGTTCCTCTTCAGCAGCTCCATCACCGGCATCGCCGCCGTCGGCATCCGCTTCCTCTGGGTCCGCATCTTCCAGATTCGCAGGGGCCGCACGGCGCCCCAGGCCCTGCTCATCGCCACCGTCATGCTGGCCCTCATCATCCTCGCCATCAACTACTCCATCGCCATGCTCATCGCGCCCCAGTACGCCATCTACGGCACCCAGACCTGGTGCTCGGCGCCCCACGGCCACGGCGAGCGGCCCGACTGCCGCCACCGCCCCGACTACCTCGTCAGCTGCTCCGAGGCCCTGTCCAAGGAGGCCCGCAGCGTGTGCACGCCGTCCGTCATGTCCGAGTTTCTCAACCGCGTCACCATCACGTGGCCCTTTTTCGGCGCCGTCGCCTTCTGGGCCCAGTTTGCCTTTCTCGCCGTCTTTCTCGTCGTCTTCGTCACCGGCCTCTCCCGCACCCCCAAGCTCAACCTCTCCGAGCTCGACGACGACGCCGAGGCTGACGAGGAGGAGGGCCTGCTGGCCAGCACCGGCCGCCGCTTTGGCGCCACATGGCAGGACATTACGGGGCGCACGGGCCGCAACGGCGACTACGGCACCCAGGCCGCGTCTGCGCAGTAGCCGCCCGCGTGGCTGTCGCGGTACTACCACTTGACCTGGAATGATGCGGCACGTTGACTTTTTCTTGTTCTTCAATATCGCTAGCGATCCTTGGTTGTACACGTACTCGAGGAATTTTGGTCTTTGCCTTTTTTTTTTCTTTTTTTTTCTTTTTGGTCTGGTCTGGTCTGATTTCGGGTTGCACGAGGAATTGGCACTGCATACGGACGGACACGGTTTGGGCTGTAGCACGGGGTGGTACACGGCTAGGAGTCCCGGTGGTTCTTTTAGGTACAGCTATGACGAGGATAATGACACGCGCTGCGTTGGCTTGAGCGGCTGAAGTGAGATGACGTGGTCCAATTCAACCTCAAGTGTACTGGCTTGCAAAAGACATCGACGTGTGAATCGACGAAGAACGAGAAAGAGGCTTCGCATCTCATGATGCCCAACTGTGACGTCGGAGGAGCGTGTCCAGCCGACGTCAGGCCCCCAGCGCGACCCTCTTGGGCCGCGGATCCCGCCCCAGCAGCACGGCCTTGTGCGTGCGGTCGTCAAAGGCGGCGGCGGGCCCGACGTGCATCTCGCGCCAGCACCGCGTGCAGTAGCCGTCGTCGTCGCAGCCGAGGCACCGCAGCGTCGCGTCCTCGAGGCAGACGGTGCACCAGTTCTTGGCGTCGTCGTCGGTGTAGCCCGTCCGCGAGCGCAGGCGGTTCGCCGGCTGGTCGCTCGGCACGGAGGGGAGGCCAATGTCGGTGGCGGCGGCGGCGGCGTCGGCGTCTTGGTCTGACGAGGGCAGGTGGAGGGCGGCCATGCGGGCTGTCAGAGAGTCGTCATCTGTGAGGCGCGAGGAGGTGGCGGGGCCAGAGGGGACCGAAGGCAGAGACAGGGACGGTTCGCCATCGTCGCCGTCGTCGGCGTCCTTGTGGGGGGTTATGGCGGACGGGACAGAGGGCAGGGAAAAGGGGGAGGCAGCGGCCGCGGGCGTCTGGCGTCCGGCGTCTCCTTTCTGAGGCCCGTCGGCCATCTCATGAGGCGGGTCCTCCGTCGGCTCGTCTCGTAAGCCGGATGACTTTGGGTTAAGCTTCGCATCGAGTTCGGCCTCGTCGAGAGCCTGAGCTAACAGCGCGTCGACGTCACGGTTCATCTCCTCGCCGTCCGTGTCCTCGTCCGCATCCCGCTTTTCAGCCTCGGGGTCATCGTTTCCACCAGCCGACTTGTCGTCTTGCCGGTGGATGTCCTTGGCGAGCTCGTCAAGAAGAGCCTCGACGCGTGCCGTCTCGGGCTGCAGATCGAGAGTCCACCTGGGGTCAGCCTCGGGGTCCTCATCCTGGAGGAGTTCCTCGAGGGTCTGATCGTCGGTCTGCAGGAGTGGATCGACATCGTGGGGCTGCTCCTGCTCCTGCTCCTGCGGCGGCGGCGATGAGGCAGAAGCTTGTTTCGGCCTCGGTGTCGGTGGTGAGGCCTGCGGGGAGGCGACGGCGGCGGGCGGTGGTGTGTCACGCTCCGGCGTGTTCCTCAGGGAACGCAGGCGAGCGGCAAGGGCATCTTCTCTCGATGCTGGCTTGGCAGGCTCGATGCCGATGGAGACATTGAGGGCACTGTATTTTTGTGACAAAAACACTTTGCTTAGCTTGGGTTGTTCTTTTTGTCTTCTTACGCAAGAATGAGCTGGCAGGCAGCAGCGGGCTGAGATTTACTTTGCTGAGCGGTCGAGAGAGATGGGTGAATTGTTGGCGTGGGGGCTGGAGCCTGAGCCTCCCTTGAGGGCATTCAGCCTGTCGAGGAGGCTCTTGTCACGGCTCGACATGAGGGCGGTTGCGGAAGCTGTCTTCGGAGATGAAGAATGGTGACAATGCAGGGATGGTAAGAAGCGCGGCGTGAGGTTAGGTTGATAGTGACGGTGGATGGTGGATGGTGGATGGTTGATGGTCGAATGGCTGGTAGGCGAGCTTGTTGGAGAGGGTCGGGTATGCTGGGTTCGTGGGTGGAGCTGCCCCTCTGCCCCTCATCAGGCTCTCTGCAAGGCTCGGCGCACACACGGTGCGGTTCGCAAGAAGGTAGGATCTAAAAGGCTGCAGGGGAGGCAGGGAGTGTCAAGCAATATCAGGCCATGTTTGCAGTGGATACGGTATGCAAGGCAATCAGATCTGGCACGAGGCAGGGAAGCACATGGCTGGTGATCAAAGATGTTCCGGCTGACACCAATGCACACAGCCTTGCGGCTGGGGTGACACCAGCCTCGATTGGGGTGACTCCAGCCTCGATACTGGATCGCGTCCACTATTAAGCTTACAAAGGCGGTCCGCAGGGGTGTAGTGTACCTACTGTAGGCAATACTCTGGGCCGCCGCCAAATCAAAAGCTCGACAGCGCACACGGCCCTACGGATAGCACGGTGCCGAGACCAAAGCGACCAACCCCCAATTGGGAGGTCGCTTTCCTGCAGGGCCTGGGACTAGGGGCCAAGAGCGTCATTTGCTCAACCGTGCCCGAGATGTGCAGCAGAGGTGGGGGCAGAAGGGGCAAAGGGGGCCTCAGAATGAAATGTCCTGTTGGGTTGCCAATGCGACCGAGAAGCGGTGCGCTCAAAGACGTGATGGCGCAAACGGAGGCTCTGTGGCTCAAAGGGCCGGTTTGCTGCCTCAAAGACTATTCTCAGGTTTGGTGTTTGGGCTGGAGTGTTTTAGAAAACGGGACGGGCGAGGCACGACGAGGATATAAGACGGGATGAAATGCCTTGGCCAAACAGCTGATGACACGAACTGACGTAGTACATTAGGTATCTACCTACCTAATCACCTCAGAGGTCGTTTTAGCCGCGGACAGGACAATCCTCTGCATCATCGTACTGACCCAAAGTCATACAAGTACCACTCGCAACTCACACCCGTGCCAGCGATCAGGACCCTGGATCGCCACTCGGTACCGTCATCGACTGAAAAGCTCCGTCTATAACGTCATTGTCGAGGAAGAATCTCTGCATCACGCCGTATCACCCCTCCCAAGCCCCCCAAGACCTTCTCCGCCTCTGTGAAGCGTCGAAACGGAGGTTGTCATCTCCACAAAACCCCGCCACTGGTTCATCGGCCGCCCACTAAGGAAGGCACAGGTGCACTGCCCACGTCCACCAGCCGCCCGGAAACCACCTAGGTATAGGCAAGTTAGGCAACTGCGGCCCAGCACTGCAGCCCAGTAGCTTCCCCGCTACCAACGACCCTTCCTTCCGCATCCGACCATTGTGCTTGGGTTGGGGCAGTCACCACCAGCGCATTGCTTATTAGGCCAAACGCCTCCCGCGGCTGAGTCTTCGTCTCGTCCGCGCACCATTTTCCAAAAACCACACCTACACCTTCCTGCTTCTTAGCATAGCACAGCATAGCACAGCATAGCACAGCACCCCCTTTGCCATTAGAGAAAGGCTGCGCATACTATTCTTTTCTTCTGTGTGCATCTACCTACGCCTGCGTCCATCTACATCTACACCTACAGTCTATCGAGACTCCCATCGGAATCATCGGAAAGGAACCCGACCGGACGGACCAACATGAAAATCCAAATCTTCCTTGCGACGGTGCTCACCGCCTTCCAATTCGCCGTCGCCCTCGTAGCGCCCGAACACCACATCGTTGAGCGCATCGCCCGCAACGAGCACAACTCTGAACTGTGGAAGCGCAAGGGCGGAGGCGGTGGTGCTCGCGGGGGCGGTGGCGGCGGTGGAGGCAACCGTGGAGGAGGTGGCAGCAGCAACGGCGGGTAAGCATCTATCAACCTTCCAACCCATCCCTCCCTTTTCACGGGACAACGACGCTGACCCTCTCCCGTCCCACAGTCGCCCTCCCAACACGGGCGGTTCCCAGGGCGGACGCACCGTCAGCGGCAGCGGTCCCCAGCCCAGATTCGGCGGCGGTCGCTACTACGGAGGTGGTGCCGTGGCCCCCTACCGCGCCGGCAACCGCAGCCCTGTCGGCTTCATCGCGCCCTTTGTCCTCGTCGGCGCTGCCGCCCTCTACTTCTGGCCCGGCAGCTGGTACGGCCACCGCGTCCAGCACTACGAGTTCAACAACACCCACACCTTCTTCAACGAGTCGGCCAACGAGAACCAGACCAAGCCCGTCATCTGCGGCTGCATCGAGGAACTGCCCTGCGGCTGCGACGAGCCCCAGGACCGCGGCGACCGCGACGCCTTCCTCAACGAGCTCATCGGCAACGGCTCGTACGCCGCCCTCAACAAGTCGGTCATTGATGTGGGCGAGCGCGACGGCAGGAGCACCATCCTCCTCAACGGCACCCTGCCCAACGACACGACCCTCGCCGACGCCAACGCCGAGAGCGCCGCCGTGCATGCCGTCGTGCACAATGTCGGCTGGTGGCCCATGGCCGGCGCCGCGCTGGCCGCCGTCTTCATTGCATAGACGGGCGCTGGGGCGAATCAATACGTTCCGTGCGACGCTCTTTCTTGTTTTCAGCCCGGCGCGACATGCTGTCCTCAGATGCCGTGGACACGTGGATGATCTACTTCTTTTTAATGGCGTAACGGTGGGAAGGGGCAGAATACCTGGGACTTGAACATTATCTCGGGCGTTGGGGGTGTCTTTTGACTCAGGTAGAGTTGACATCGGCCACGACGTCAATTCGTTGCCTTGGGCGCAACCCTTGGCTTCGCTTTGAATTTTGATAGGCATCAAAAGAAAACGAATTGGACAAAAAATAAATTACCATAGCCAGCAGCGATTGATGTTGCCAGCACCGCTTGATGGTGCCAGTCTCCGCTCGCGATCCCACCCTACAAGTGCCGTGGTCCATCCTGCCTGTCTCTCCCTGCCAGTCAGACTCGCGCTTTCACGTCAGCGGGCGGACGACATGGACAACTCCGGCGCGGTCTAGGATGGTACTGTACATGTAGTGTGACGCAATTAGTGTTCACTCTTGGCATCGCGACAATGGTGGTACCGCCGTACTGGTTGAGCCGCGTAGAATGGCAGTTGTGGGCATCATTTCCCTGAAAAGATGCTTAATAGAGTGAGGGCCATGATCCCGGCACGCGAATAAGCTTGGGCAGAGTCGCATCGGCCCAATCACGTACCCCTCAACGGCTTGCGCAGCCTCAGCAGGAGTCATGCCTTGCCAACCTCTAATCAAACCATATTGAACTTGCTTTGAGGAGTTACGAAGCTAGGAAACTTACGGTTCCGAACAAGCCGCACAACGCCCGTTCGGCCCAGCCCACCAACGGCTGCGCCCGGCTGCCTGGCATGTTTCTTGGTATATAGACCTCTCGATGGCTTCACCCAGATAGGAGCGCGTCCTCAGTACAGGGCAGCTGTATATACACCTAATACTTCAACTTTAACAGTTGTATCCACTCTTTCGGGCCTCCAGCGACCCCTATCACCACCATGCATTTCCACCATTTGTCCCTCTGGGCTCTGGCCGCCTCGTCGGTGCAGGCTGCCGCCTCCGCCCCCGAGACCAATGTCGATGTGCTCATCATTGGCGGTGGTGCCACCGGCGCATATGCTGCTACTCAACTCCGTGATCAGGGCAAGAAGGTGCTGGTCGTGGAGAGCGAGAAGCAGCTCGGCGGCCACGTCGATACCTTTATAGACCCAGCCACGGGTGCGCCCATCGACTATGGCGTCCAGGCCTACATCCTGAACAATCAGACGCAGAACTTCTTTGGTCGGTTCAACGTCGCGCTCAACGCTTCGACGCAGTCGCCTTTCCCTACCAAGCTTGTCGACTTCAAGACGGGTTTCGTCGTCCCGAATGCCACGGCCACGGACATTCTGACGCTCCTCGGTCCCATTGGCGACTACATCACAGCCGTGTCGTCCTACACGGGCATCGCTCAGGGCTACTATGACATTCCCCAGCCCGTCGACCCTCAGCTCCTCGAGCCGTTTTCCAAGTTTGTGGCCCGGAACAACCTCACGGCCGAGATGGTGCAGCTCGTCTGGCAGTTCGCCCACGGCGTCGGCAACCTGTTCGACACGCCGACGCTCTACGTGCTCCAGAACTTTGGCCTGCCGCACATCCTCGGCCTCGCGGCCGGCTACGTGTACTCGCCCGCCGGCAACCAGCTCCTGTACGACCGCGTCGCCGCCTTCCTCGGCAAGGACGTCCTCTACTCGAGCCGCGTCGTGTCGTCGACGCGCACAACCACGGGCGTGACGGCCGTCGTCCAGGGTGCGTGCGGCACCCGCACCGTCCGCGCCAAGAAGCTCCTCATCACGATCCCGCCGACGCGCAAGAACCTCGCCGTCTTCAACCTCGACAACAACGAGAAGAAGCTCTTCGACCAGTTCAGCGACGTGCCCTACCACGTCGGCATCATCCGCAAGAGCAGCATGCCGGACCTGACCAACTTTTACAACGTCGACCTCCAGTCGCCGACCCTGCTGCCGAGCACGCCCTTTGCCTTCCGCTTCGAGACGACCGGCGTGCCGGGCTACCAGACGGTCAAGGTCATCGGCGAGCCGAGCAACGCCAAGGCCCGCACCCTCGCCCTGACGGCCGCCAAGACGGTCGGCAACGCCGTCAGCGGCACGCCCGGCAACCCCAGCACCGCCGCCTGGGGCCAGCACAAGGACCTCGGCCTGCACGTGCCCATCGAGGCCGTCGCCGACGGCTTCTACTCCAAGCTGTACGCCGTGCAGGGCGGCAGGAGCACCTGGTTCACCGGCAATGCCTGGTGCTCTGACTACTCGCCTCTGCTGTGGGCGTACACGGACGAGAGGATTCTGCCTAACCTTCTTTGAGGGGGGAGACACATGATGATGAGGGGGTTTCTGTCGGGGGTTTACTTTACTATTCATAATGGGCAGCGATCATGTACATTTCACGAGACGTGCATGCGGAAAGAGGATTTGAAACTATGATTTCTGCTGCCTTTTCGGCCTGCTGTGGACCATGTGGATCGTGCTTGGGTGACGAAATCTGCGGTGTACGATGAAGTGAGGTGATTGTTTCCTTCATGCGATGAAGCGCGGGCTGTATGCCTGGGCGTGGCAGAGTAGCAACGTCATGTCGCTTGGCAAGATGGCCCGCCCGGAGGACCGTTATTGCCTGCCATCACTGCATCAGTGCCACCCTTCCCATTGCTGTGGAGAGTCTCGGTATTTTCCGCTCTTTTCGTATGAAAATAACCCTTGATAAGATGGTCAGCTGGCCATTGTCGTACTCTGGGTGGAGGCCGTGAACCTTGCGGCAACCTTTCTGGGTTTTTAGGTTGCCCCTTTTGTTGATCGAGAGAAGCACATGATATCACGAGGTGCAGGGATATCTCACGTGAGTACCATGTACGTGTATGGTATCGAGGTGTCAGGCCGAGACGTGAGCGGAGGGAAGGTCTTCCGCAGCGTTGACGCTGCAGTGACTTGTCAACATACGGGAGAGTAATTCCTGGACTGGGGGTTCCGCGGTCCTCGTGTCCAGGAGGGCCCTCAGTCTCGTATTTCAGAGTCCCCTAGGCCTCTGCAGATGCCTCCCAACAGACTCGCTACCATGGCGAATTCTTACAGGCCCCGAGGGAGCCATGAGACCAGCAGGGGACTGCCCGGCATTTGGTCGCAGTGCCAAAGTGGAGGTATGCTCTGCAGAAACCCTACATGTACATCTAGATGTCGGTAGGCCACTTGATCATGCAGCCCCCCCCTGCGTTTATTCTCTGCTTTATCGCTTCATGGTTAACCTCTCGCCGGATTCTTGTCCTGGAATTTCGTAAGTATTTCCGTCGCCTCTCTTCTAAGAGAGGAGGGTAAAGTTGAAGACACATGGTCCTCTCAGCCACACAAAACAAACATTCTCAAGCCACTCAAGCAGTTTTTTCGCACGCTCCATGATGCTGGGGCCATGGATGGTTTGAAGAAGCTCTGGGATACGCTTACGAGAAACTCAACCATGTGCTCGAGATTCAAGCATTGCCACACAGGTGAGGGTTGCTTAATCTCAAGCAACTTCAACTTGGATATTTGGTAACACAGATGTAAATGAGATTCATGTAGCAAATACATGTATTTATCTAAGCTTTGATTCATTCTCGAGTAGCATTTCTATACTACAACCCATTGATCCAGCAAGTTTGCTTGTCTCAAAAGGCACCGACAAAGGCCGCCTGATTGGACCAAATTCCCCCACTAGAGCCCCCCCAAACATGGCATTTTTGACCAATGACGCGCAACGCGTCCCGCCAGGTGGCATCCATCACGTTAAGGTAAGGTACCTCGGAATGTACCTACCTTACCTTGCCAGGTACCGTACCTTGCGTACGTACCTTGCGTACGTACCTATCGTACCTTCGGTGAGCTGCTCAACTCCTCGAAGCTTCCACTACACCATCACCACCAGACGCCACGGCCATGCCCCCGAGCCATGACCGAGCCATGCAGCAAATCACCATGACAAAGGGAGGGAAGGCTGGCCTCTTCCTCGCAGCCGCTGCCCTGCGACTCGTCCTCTTCGTCGGCTTCCCGCAACTGCCCGACCTGCTGACTGGCCGCGTTGAGATCTCGACGCCTGTGACGAGCTTCAAGCGCCGTGAGTTCCTCGCTGAACCCCCGAGGCTGTCGATGACCGTCCATCGCTGACACAGGTACAAAGTCCAGGAAGGCTTGTTCCTCTACAACCATAATGTCTCGCCTTACGACGGCGGCGTCTACCACCAGGCACCCCTCCTCCTGCCGCTCTTCTCCCTGCTGCCCGACCTCAAGGCCTGGCCCATCTTTGCGTCGCTCCTCTACATCGTCGTCGACCTCTTGAGCGCCGACGCTCTCGCCAAGATTGCCGATTCGGGCGAGGCCGGCGCGTCGAAGCACTTCACGTCACCGCGCCGCGCCACACGCTGGAACGGCGTCGCCGTCGCCGCCGCCTTCCTCTTCAACCCCTTCACCATTGCCACGTGCCTCGGCCGGTCGACGGGCGTCTTCTCGACCTGCGCCATCCTTCACGCCATGGCCAAGGCCATCGGCGGCGCCCCCGTGAGCGCCGTTGTCGCCCTGACCTTGGCCGGCTACCTCTCGCTGTCGCCGCTGCTGCTCCTGCCGCCGCTCCTCCTCCTCGCCTACGACCGCCAGGCGCCGTCTCGTCGTGTCGCCTCACCCGTGCAGTTCGCCGCCACCCACGCCGCCGTCGCCGGCGCCACGCTCCTCGCGCTCCTCGGCCTCTCGGCGCTCCTGACGGGCGGCTCCTGGGCCTTCCTCGGCAGCACGTACGGCGTGCAGCTGACGCTCTCGGACCTGACGCCCAACGTCGGCCTCTGGTGGTACTTTTTCGTGGAAATGTTCGACTCGTTCCGCGCCTTCTTCCTCGCCGTCTTTTGGCTGCACCTCGCCTCGTACGTCGGCGGCCTGTCGGTGCGCCTGCGCGCCCAGCCCCTCGCCGCCCTGACCCTGCTGCTCGGCGTCCTCGCCATCTTCAAGCCCTACCCCTCCCTCGCCGACGCCTCCCTCTTCGCCGCCGCCGTGCCGCTCTACCGCCACGTCTTCCCCCTCATGCGCTACCCCTTTGTCACCGCCTCGGCCATCCTCTACGCCTCCTTCCTCGGCCCCGCCTTTTACCACCTGTGGATCTACGCCGGCAGCGGCAACGCCAACTTCTTCTACGCCATCACCCTCGTCTGGAGCCTTGCGCAGAGCCTGCTCGTCAGCGACCTCACCTTTGCCATTCTGCGCGACGAGTGGGAGGTCGACCGCCCCGAGATGGTCGGCAAGGAGGTCCGTCAGATTTAGGGGCCTGCCGTGTTGGGGGATTGGGCCTCCGGTCGATGCTAGTGGGGACGGTATGTGTGTACCTGTTGTCAACGGGCGGGATGCATAGCAGGAGGGAGACACGTGTATGATTTAGCTGTATGCCTGCTTGGAAGACTGTACGCGTGCTTGGAAAGGCTGTACGCCTGCTTGGTAAGGCTGCACGCCTGCTTGGGAAAAGGCATTCACATGGGATGGGTTCCAAAAGAAAAAAGATTATGATGCTTGTAAAGTCGGCCTGTTCGTCCGATCTTGTTTATTTGTGCACGGAAAATACACAGCTTACGCGTACCTACCTCGTTACTCTACAATAATGTACCGCCACATGGACCCTTACCCAACACAGTCACCAAGAGAATCTCGACACCCAGCCCGACGCAGCGTGCGCAGGCCCGACACCTACTCGACGTCGACCTCGGCCTCGACAATCGCATGCGACGCCCCCTCGCCCTGCGCCCACGTGTCCGGCGCGCCGCCGAGCGAAAAGTCCAGCATGGCGCCCAGCGCGCCGAATTGGCCGAGCCGACCCCCCGCCGGCCGCGCCCACGCCTGCTTCTTGAGCCCAAACGGCGCCATGCCGCGGTAGGTCCACCCTCCTCCACGCGACGGCGGAGGCGAGGGGCGACCAGGCAGGGGGGGCTAAAGAGAGAAAAAAGGAAAAGGAGGAAAGCACTATTGTAGAAGAAAAAACGAAGAAAAAAAATAGAAGGAGAGAGGGGGGGGGGTGGCGGCGGTCATGCAGGAGGGACGACGGTAGTCCGGTCACGCCGCCGATCAAGCAAGAACTGGAGACGGGTGTCGTCGCGCGTCGAATGGGATTGAGGTGGGA